GTGCTGGTACATCTGTAATGTTACATCTGCTTCAGGAAGGTGTATGGTACACATATTGTATCTTTGACTTTAAAATTCAATCAGTGTTTGGTCACCAATGTAATATTAAGGTTTTGTAGAAATACACATTACCATTTTAATGTTGTAACGTTTACATACTTGACACATGTCCTGCCCAACTAGCAACCACATAAACATCATGGGTATCCGAAACTTCCATCAGATCTTTAATAAACGGCGGTTTGTAAATAATTGAAGCTGGACCAAAACATTCCAGTCACTGCCATCATGATGATCAAACTATGCCACTTGAAGTTGGTGACGTACATCAAATAAGTCAGAGAGCCTGACCAGCCGATCTGGGTAGTTGCCTCTTACTGCATGCAGTATCCGCTAGGCCAGTTGTGATATATGCCTATGTCATCAGATTTGGTTTGTTTGTTTGCCACACGCAGCAATATTCCAGCTATATGGTGGAGCTACGCAAATAATCGAATCTGGACCAGACAATCCAGTGATGTACATTGCGAGCATCGATCTACGCCATTGGGATACGATGACATGTTACAATCAAGTCAGTTAGACTGTCTACCCGATCCTGTTAGTTGCCTCTTGAAGTTTGGAGTTTGAAGACAAGTTTGAATCTGGATGTTAATGGTTAGATCACAAAGGAATCAAAGCGTTACATGTCTTGTTCTAATACTTTAACATAATGACAATAATAATAATAATCTTTATTCATCGACTAGCGTAGAACAAAGACCTATTCAATGATATAGATAATATACATTGAAAGATTTTACAGAATCTGTCAATCAGCTGTTCAATTAGCGTCTAATCAGCCTGTTGGTCTAACTCTCCCAACTGTTGTTGTTGTTGTTGTTGTTGTTGTTGTTGCTCATCTGCTGCTTGTCATTCTGCATATATACTTCTATTCACCTGGTTGTAGTAACTTTTATTTTGTAAACGGTGTGAGAATAAACATGGAAACGCCCCTCTATGCATCAACAAGAAATTGGTATCTGTAAAGTCAAACTTTAAGAATCAAAGAATGATTGTGTTACGATTGGCGTTGTGTTCGCAACGCAGGTTTTAACATTTTCTTAACAGATATAAGTTCATTTGTCACTACAGTGACAGAGACATACTACATACCAATACATCAGAAGATGAACGTGCAGATGTCGCTTAAAGCCTTGTAGGAATCGCATCAAATAGCAAGCAACTGCAGATTTGAACAATCTTCTCAAACTATTGTGATAAAAGTGGTTATAATTCCCGGGCATTAGCGATCTACGAATTTAATGTTTTTCATAAACTAGAATCTTTGAAATATAGTTCCCTCTGGCATCATCTGTGGTGTGAGCTTGTGCGCTGACTTCTCTAGAAATTAGTTAACGTGATCTAAAATGAATAATGCAATAAACATTCAGTCACTTTCTTATTGTAAATCACCAAAATAATTAGTTACCCTCTGTTTTGTTTAAGAAGGAATCCATTTAATTGATTTTTTCCCCAAACCGCCTGTGTGAGGACAACATAACCAGTTATCTATTAAGTAGTTCATGATATTTCGTGAATACAAAACTGAGCACAAACCCAAACGACCGCTCCCTTGTGAATTGGTATTAATAAGAGAATGCATTTCAGTTCAATAGCCCAATATAGTCCTGGCAAGCGTTCACTTTTGTTACATGTAATACAGGTGTCGACATACTTCAGAGAAACATAGGGACTCATGTTTGTGGTATGAAGGGGTAAGTGAGGATATGGTGATGCAATTCCCTTTCTTGATTCGTCCAAGGTTCTTCAATAAGAACATCAGTCCTGGCTGCTGGCAGTCGGGGAATAGTTGCGCTTCTGTGTCTGTCCAAGGAACTTCCAACGCTGGGAGAAGAAGGGAGCTGCTGTACCAGATCCAGTGGGAGTTGGCCTATGTCTTCATTGTGTATCACTTGGACAGGAGGTGTTTCTCCCGAGCCCTCTTCCTCAAATTGCTAACAAACGTTACTGATATTTCATCTGATGGGGGATGACAGTACGTAGAGGGTAATGTCCCAGTAACTCTCCATTCCTTAATAATCGGAGGGGCCGAGGGACATTATTTTTAATGAATGGAGAGTTACGAGGATATTACCCTATTTAAATTACATTCAAAGTATTGGGAATATTTCTGCTATCAAAATTAAATGTGAAATGACAAAATGAATTCTTTATTTGAAACTGGTACACGTCATTCCATTGTCTGCTCGCTCCATTACTTTTCATGAATGGAGCGAGCAGACAATGGAATGACGTCACAAATGTAATTTAATCAGAGGTATTCCTCAGGCAATCTCCAACAGTCGCGCACTTGCCACGGCATGTATTAATTATACACTTCCAATGGGCTGATTCGGCTCTAGTGACATTCTTCTGGTAACGGAAACTGTCAAGAAGCACCTGTGGTTTACCTTTCTGACTAAGGACAAAGTCAACTTTCCTAAGTATTAAATTACATATAAGAGGAAAACAATTATACTATTTTAACTTAATAACTCATTCGTTATATTTCACTTTACTCCAATATACATTTACTCCAATATACTAAGCTTTTTTTTTTTTTCCATATCATATGAATACAAGAACATTCCCTAACTACAACATACCCTTCGCTCTTGTCCTTTACTTTCTGGTTATTAGATTACCTTTACAACAACATAAGGTACTGGTCAATTAGACTGTATCAAGCTACTCAACAGTTGTGATTTTAAGCATGTAGTTCTTCTGGGATAGCTAATGGGCTGTACTCATTACATGCCATGGGTGTACCTCCACTCAGATAATTAATCCCTGACTAATCCCTGTAGTTAATTTGGGATGTAGTTCAAATGGAATATAATGTAGTTCTAATGGGAGTAAACCGTCAGAGCTACACCTGAGCAAACACGATCTAAATAAATTACTCCCTATTGAATAATTAAAAGAAGATCTGAATGAATAAAGGTATATCAAAGTGAGAGAGTTTAGTTTTACACCCCTTTTAGCAATATTCACGGTATCGGACACAAGGAATGGGCTTCACACATTGTACCCATATGGGGAATCAAACCCGGGTCTTCGGCGTGACGAGCGAACAAGGCTACCCCACCGCACCAGATACATCAGAAGACTTATTAGTGACATGCATTGATGACAAGAATACGGATACATAAGACTGATCCATACGGAAATATGTATATGTGCATGTATGAGAGGGTTAGATATCTCGTAAAACATATTTAAAAGCGATGTTTGTATACTATTGAATGAGCAGATCCCACAAAATGCTATAAGTGTTATGTACAAACATTGATTGAAACAATGTGTATGTCCTACAAATACGGCCTGAAGCAACGTATAATCGAACAGTAACATTGCTGATAAAGAAACTTTGCAAGATATCATAAGTTCTGTTGTCTGTGCTGGTTTTCGTAATTCAAGAGGTTTTAAATGTCGCTGTTCTCATGTACCTAATATATCTAATATATGTGTCTTTAAAGTTAAACATTAATTTGGCAAAGACGTTTAACTTAAACTTCCGGTATATCGATGGTATGATCGTACAAAAACAGTTGCAGATCTAAGCATAAAGATTCCAAACTGCAATAACAATTCTTTTCATTGGATTTTCATCTGAACTGGAAATACGAGACGCGAATGAAACCTTCAAGAAAAATGGAAATGCATGTCAGTTTATTAACACTGGGTGTTAAATCGAAGTCATTATCATCGCGTACATCTGAGTTAGGGAAGTAAAATAGTACATTCAAATATAGCTGTCAAATTGATAAATGGTAGAACAATGTAAAGGTGTTTTGCGTGTACAACACAGGTTATTTGGACATAAGTGTAACCAACTTTGTTGGAAGGATAACAATATATGGACAAACAACTTCTTTACTACAATGGGGCGATGTTTCGGTGTAGGTTCTAACACCGTTATCAAGCAAGTGATGAACAGAATAAGGATAGAGATTGATATATATCTGTGGCTGAATGTTCAGCAGAGGAAAGGAAAACACATTATATGTTGTAGTGAATACAGAAATAGAGACCAACACGATAACTGCTATCTGTCATGTATCATGTATTGTAGCTTGAGGTGTTTTTATTGCTAATATGAATTTAGTGACGCATTATTTGTCGTGTTCAACACGGACAATGGACTGTATCGTCAGACGGACTGCATTAGGGCAATACGCCCTCACACAGAGCTCTCTGGATATCACTATGAAATGTGATTTGACATACGACCTTTTGTACACGCTATGAATACACCGAACCCCATTTAATGTTTGCATACGTGCCATTATGCAGTTCCCTCATTGCTGTGTGTATGGATTCGATGTTTATTCACTAGTCGGGTAACACGTGTACAGACACCTAAACTGTAATTGTGATGTGTTTTGTTGTAGCCTTATAACACATGCACAGACACAGATTCCATACTCCTACCCTAACAATTATGTATGCAAGTATTCAGAAATGCAGACAACCAGGAATCAGCTGATGTCTCTAGTATGAGATGTTTGTGTGATGCACTGATATTACAGTAAGCGGATAACTTCTTTGAGAGGCATGATTAGAAGTTGGTGAATCAGATAAGGACAAACTTGATGCATGAACAACTTCTTAATTCGGTAAGCGGATGTCTGGCAGTTCCTCACGGAAACCCAAAAAGGTGAAGCAATATTGGACCGTGAAGATCCGGATTAGAATTGGTCTCTGACAACCGATGATAACGGGAATGAGTTGTCAGACTCGCTGACTTGGTTGACACATGTCATAGTATCCTGTGTAGAACGATGCTCATGATGTTAATCACTGGTTTGTCTGGTCAGACTCGATTATGTACGGACCGACCTCATATAGCTGGAATATTGCTGAGTGCGGCGTAAAACTAAACTCACTCACTCACTCTGACTGAGTTCACATGAACCAGTATTTGGCGTTAAACAACAAACAAAGAAACAAAACACTCTCCATAAGTTTGGTTTAATACTGTGTACTGTTTACTGTTATTTAATAATACATGTAGCCGATTTATAAAGAATTGCAAATTCGACTACGTTTAACATATATATATACATATCGCCCTGACGATGATACAGGGAGGGCATGTAAAATCTCCATTTGATGAATGGGTTCTTTGAACTACATTTGCACCAAACCAATTGAATCTAATGCAAAAGGTGTTGAAATACTTTTCAAAAGCAAATGCAAAAAGAACAAACAAGAAAAAAATTGGAATATAGATCACTTTTGTGCAAATGCGTATGGATCTATATATCTCTCTAATATATCATTTAATGACATTGAGGTGTTTGATAAACACTTATAGAAATATAAGACTTTGGTTAGGACCCTGACATTCAACATTTCATACATTCGTTTTTCTACTAAACCTCGGATGACATTACTTTTAGTTTTTATATGTTTATATCAGTATGGAAGAGCTTCAAATGAGGATATGGTGTCGAAACATATCATAAACATAATATACAACATGTGTGAGTAGTTACATCAACATTGGATTGTGACTGATATACATTTAGATAAACAAAAACGTAATCTTTAGGACTGACTGACTGACTGAGTTTGGTTTTACGCCGCTTTTAGCAATATTCCAGCAACATCACGGCGGGGGACACCAGAAATGGGCTTCACACATTGTACCCATGTTGGGATTCGAACCCGGGTCTTCGGCGTGACGAGCCAACGCTTTAACCACTAGGCTACCCCACCGCCCCGTAATCTTTATGAACTAGGTGTCACTGACATTGAATATATCAAGTATTAAACGGGAAAATCATCCATTTAACGCTTTGTTGGTCTATATACTAGTAATCTGTATAAAAAGTTGATAATTGGAAAATACTATTACAGTTACAAGAAATCGATAATAATTACTTACAGAAATAGAAACCACTTGCAATGCGAGTATGTTGCCACAGGGTACAAATTCATGTTTATAGTCCATTTCTATCTATTGTATTCGTCAAAAAGATTAACATGTGTCAATCCCTGTGTATGTGTGGAAACACATTACCTTTTGATGTGGTAGAATGAGGTTAAGAAACTTCAACGACATTTGTATTCGTGATGAACCACAGATGTAGATACATGTTAAATAGGTTGTAGGAATGGGTTTGCCTGGGTCTGTTCCCAGTATGGCTTTACACAAACAGGCATCGTTCCAGTTACAACTAATATTACGTTTAATACATATAATAGTACGTTTCCACTCTTCAGGGTACGTCTCCACTCTTCAGGGTACGTTTCCACTCTCCAGGATGAACCATAGAACCATACACTTATGCATTTTCCTCTTCACCACCAGAATCATCCAGCGTTAGAACACGACTGTCGGACACGGCTTTTGTGGACGTCCTGGCACTGCCAGATCCATATTGTTCCCGGAATAGTTTCATCTCTTTACCAACTTCTGCAGCTATTGTTTTCTTCAGATCAGACTTCATGTTCTGTATCTGTGTACTCAGTGCACCAACAAGATCTTCAACCCTGGAAATATTGTGTGTTACATGTTAGCAAACCAGCGTGTATTTACAAGTGATGTCGTCATTATATTGATACTTATAAACACTGGAATGCTTACTTTGATATATCCGTTCTGTTATCTGATGACACTACCTCTTCTGATCTGAAACGGGAACGAAGTATTGAGGCAAATTCTAAATTTTCACACATATCACATAAACTGGTAATAGACAACTCGGGTACACACTAACATAAGTAGTGAGGCTTTGTTGTTTAATAACCAGTTCATTTAAGTTCATTTGTAAGGTATACTTATCAAACTATGAATCAGTGAGGTTGTGAGATGTGTAAGAGGCGATTGAAGAATATACCCAGTACAACCAGAAATTATTGAGAATTTAAAGATTGTAATTTTATATATTTTTTCACTCATTACTCAGGTATTAAATGTGAATATTAGCAGAACATAACTCCAGATTCAAATACAGGTGAACAGTTAGTATTTGTCAAGTCACCATGGGCAGCAATGCAGGCTTCAATGCGGCGGGGCATACTACTGATCAAAGAAGTTAGAAAGTCGTGGTCCATGCTGTCCCAATATCGGACCACCTCTTCTTTCATTTCAGCAATATTTGTCAGATTTTTCTTATTGACACTTTCCTTCATAAGTCCCCAAACATTTTCTATTAGATTAAGGTCAGGGATATAGCTTGGCCAATCTAATAATGTCATATTTTGGGTCCGAAACCAGGCCTGTGAATGCTTTGAACGCTGTTTGGGGTCGTTGTCCTGCTGGAAAATCCAAATATTTCCATAGAACACGTGAGCAGATGGAGGTAAATGTCCCTCGAGAATATCTGTGTACCGCTCACTGTTCATATGCCCTTCAAATACACAGGTGAGGTGAGGTGAAATTGGGTTTTACGTCGTGCTTCAGAATATTTCGCTCATATGACGACGTGCATGCGTGTGAATGTGTATGTGCGGCTGCTTGTACTAGCCCAGACTTAAGCTGGTTTTATAGTGCTAGCACACTGAGATACCATGCTGCAGTGAAGCATGAATACCCCACTCAGACACATTTTACTGACTCTGAGGCGACCAGTCCTTGTTGTACCCATTAATGCCGAGCGCCAGGCAGGGACCAACAAGTACCATATTTTAACGTCTTTTGGTATGACGCGGTCGGGGATCGAACCGGCGACGTTCCGTTCTCCGGGCGTACGCTCTAACCACTACACCACGGAGGCGGTCTCAAATACACAGAGGGGCGTTGCCCCTAACACAGATATGCCACCCCACACGTTAAATTTCGGACTGTACTTTGGGCGCTGATACAAAGGTGTTTCAGTTTGGTCCAGAATTTCAGTGTATTAGGAAACAGCCACACAGAACTTTCATCTGAGAAAATCACATTGTCCCAGTTAAAATTTCTATGCTGTAAGCACCAGTTTAACCTTCGCTCCTTTTGTTCAGGATTCATGATCGGTGATGGAATTCCTCTACTTTTCTGCCAACCCATTGCATGCTGCTCAGTTCTAACTGTCTCCTTACAGACTGTCACAGTTCCTCTATCAATCATATCCAGACTTAAGTTTTCTAAACTCCTTCGTTTGTTTTTAGAAACAAGAATACCAAGCCGCCTCCTGTCACCGACAGTCAATTTTATGGGCCTACCTGTGCCTCCCTGGTGCTCAATGACATATCCACTTGCAATATTTTTCAAAACACGATGAACAGTGGACAAAGGGATGCCTGTTCTACTTGAAGTCACTTTAGCTGATCTGATAACCTTGTTATAATACTTTAAAATCAACTTCCTCTTCTCTAAATCATCCATACTGAGGATCACTGAAAATGTCGTCTGCTAGCAAGTAAACAAAGGGGATAACACTTCACAAACTAATGAAAAAGGATTAACGGAGTTGTCTCTCTTGAATGAAACCAAGCACTTGATAGCTGGTCAAGGTTGTTTATACTAAAAATCCAATTAAACATATTCCTAAAATTCTCAATAATGTCTGGTCATACTATAACAGTTTTATCAATTCTTCGGTTGTGATGAAATATATACCTTGGCGGTTCACGAATAGCTGTGATCGTTTTTACCATGGCTTCTTTGTTGTCGGATTTGTCTCTGAGAAAACAAAGATGCAATTTAGAATTATTTATTGCGGTTATCACCAAACCTGTATATATATGCGATATAACACTGTGAGGTGAGGTGAGGTGAAATTGGATTTAACGTCGTGCTTCAGAATATTTCGCTCATATGACGACGTACATGCGTGTGTATGTGTATGTGCGGCTGCTTGTACTAGCCCAGACTTAGGCTGGTTTTATATTGCTAGCCCACTGAGATACCATGCCGCAGTGAAGCATGAATACCCCACTCAGACACATTATACTGACTCCGAGCCGACCAGTCCTTGTTGTACACATTAATGCCGAGCGCCAGGCAGAAACCAACAAGTACCATATATTAACGTCGTTTGGTATGACGCGGTCGGGGATCGAACCCGCGACCTTCCGCTCTCCGGGCGGACGCTCTAACCACTACACCACGGAGGCGGTATATATAACACTGTAGTGTAATATATTGAAAACAAATCTTTCTTATATACATTTCATATAAATACGTCGCCATGTAACATACATGTATGCTATATTTCGGATTGTACTATAAAATCTAGAATCTAGTAGTTTTTGTTAGATTGAGTCCCATCCGAGATTCGAACCCACACTCTCAGAATCAGGCACCTAATCGCCAGCACTCACATTCAGCAAAATTTATCCCATTCAGCCACCGCGGCTTCCACAAAAATGGAGGCGGACAACCGGTAGTCAAGAATAAGGAATATCACGGTGGCAGAGCTGTGGCAAGGATATTTTAGTGACCTCTTTCTCCAAAATATTCGAATGCAACAGTATTTCTTTCAGCTAAGTCAGAGAAGTAGCACTGCTCGAAACACTGTTTGTTGACGTTGCACATGACACTTCCTGTTATCAGTTCATTATAAGCTATATATCGTGCTTTTAACTGCATATAGTCTGTAAAAACGGGGTTTGTATTGATATAAATACATAAATATACGCTGGCACAAAAAACTAACTGTATGACTTTCAACGTTGGTGCTGGATATGCATGTTCATGTTACTATATTTCAATAAAAGAAACCCATATAATCCCTATATATCGTGTTTGTTTGTGTATGTATTCTACACAATATTTATGCAGTTTTTTGTATTGAAATAAATATATGCTAGCACAAAAACAAATTGTGGAACTTTAAATTTTGGTACTACATTTGCCTGTTCATCTTAATATATATTTCAATAAATAAACTCGAGGATGCGAATATTGGGATTTGTGTGTGGTAAACTGTGGTAACGACAAAATTAATGTATCTTAAGATCTACTTTCGTCGAAATACCATGTGTCATAGCAATTTAGACTTTAAATGCAATCGTGCATGATTACTAGACTGAATAATATCAAACAGCTAGGTATTTTAATATATTGACAGGAATGACTGTTGTAAATGTCGCAAATTACCACCTTCTTATTCATCTGATAATATACTGAACCGCAAAAGAAACGTCACTTGAAGTAAAATTGCATGTAAATTTGTCATTGAAATATCTCGGTAATTGTTGTTAACGTTAAATGAAACTTTACCTCGTCAAAACAAAATGCCATTTGATGGACTAAAACAAAGCTGGTGATTATAAAAACCGATCACCGAAACGCATTACGGCAATGGCCATGGTAACCCGATGCACGTGCGTTCCATGAAAATTGAAATGCACGTGCGTTTAACAATTTCTTGCCCTAAAAATCCACATAGAACGGATAACATTCATTCGTTGTTGAATTGCTACGACATGCCAAGACTGACACGAGATCAACAAAACCAAGCCATACCGCCTGCCAGATTGTCAATGAATTTCAAGTCCACGTCAGAACCATATACAGGCTTTAGCAACTGTATCAGGTCACCAACACCACTGATGACCGACCACGTAGTGGAAGACCGAAGGTTGCCAACCGAAGTCAAGATCGTCACATTATGCGACAACATCTTCAAGATCGCTTTACTGCTCCGGAAACAGCTCGACAGACCATGGGGACAAGCCAGCGACACATTAGTGCGGACACCGTGCGTCGACGATTGGCGAGCAGAAACCTCCACTGTCACAGGTCACACCGAGGACCAATTCTGACACCACGTAGTCGTCAGGATCGTCTATAGTGGGCAACACAGCATCTGCATTGGCGCCACCAACTGTGGAGAAGGGTCCTATTTTGACGAGATACGACTGTATCTCAATAGAAGATGGCAGCGTGAGAGTCTGGCGACCCCGTGGGGAACCTTATGCAGATGCTGAGAGAGACTCGTGGGGTGGCCCTCGCATCATGGTTAGGTTTGGAATTGGTCTTGCACGGAGAGTCGGGCCTGTGGTATTCCAGAACATCGGTCCATGGAGAGACAACAGTGTCACAGCTGCTCGGTGCATTGATCAAGTCTTCAGACCACACGTCATACCTCATTTGCCACATCGTCGTGGCAACCACGTGTTTCAGCATGATAACGCCCATGTCCACACTGACAGAGCAACAGGAGACTTCTTCCAGCATAATGACATCAGGACCATACAGTGGCCTTCCCTCAGTCCCGATTTAACCCCCCTTGAGCCCCCGTGGGACGAGATTCAACGACAGCTGAATGACGTACGACCACTGCAGCTAAGCGTCAGGTGTTCCTCGAAGTGTGGGGCAAGTGCCTATGGCCTTTATCAATCACCTCATCCATTCCATGTACCGACGTTGTACGGCAATTATCAATGCACATGGCTGACTCGCGAGATATTGTGGTGATCTACCTTCAGTTGTTGGCGATATATAGCCCATTTTTATATTGTGTTGTCCCCTATAGTTAAACTGTTTTAGATTCAATTACTAGTTTTACATATATCTGTGATATTCTAGTTGCTTTACTGTCCTTTGTCGGCAGATTTTATAATCTCTCTCTATATTCTATTTCAATGTCAAGTGTTCTCGTCACGATATGGCTGAAATATTGCCGATGTGACGTTAAATCATAACTCACTCACTCACTCGCGAGATATTGAAATTTGATGACCACTCCTCAGAGAATAGCGTGTTGTTTCTCATTAAGAACATCTGACATTTTCATTCCAACCTTGATTATCATCCATGCCAAGTTTCATCTTCTTCCTATGTCTCAAAGGTTAAATTAAACGTGTTTGGAAAAATAATTGCTCTAATATATTTCTCCATGTGAAGTTTCATTTGCGGTTCAGTATAGTAATGTGTCATTTCAAACAAAGTAAAGTTTCAAACAGTTTCAACAAACCCAATATATCTCCTTAGATTTGAGTTGAGATTGTACTGATTATTAGTCCAGTGTCTTTAATCAAGAACCATCATGTAAGACAAACCCGACTGGAGATATCCGCTCGCTTCCTGACTTCAATTCATCAGTGGCCAGGTAGTACTCTCCCATGGACCTCTCCCAGGAATCCATCTCTTCATTCGGATACTTGTCTGAAAGAAACGTTCCTGTGTACAACGATGTCCATACGGTATATGATAATCTGGTAGAAAGATACAAAGTAATACAGTTTGTTCTCAACCAATATTGGTATTATGATTATCCGAGTGGTATTTGTAGAATACATAATAATAATAATAATAATAATAATTGGCTTGTATAGCGCCTAGTTTCCATCACAGATGCTCAACGGCACTGCATACATCATTAAAAACACAATAAGTGTGAAAAGAGTTTCAAGGCATCATTGACATTACAGTTAATGAGCCTCCTTCAGTGACAATTGTCCAGTGCAACAACTGCATGAACCTGATAATTCGAAGGTATTATTCAGAGAGAGAGGTTGGGTGGGGATTTGAACTTATTCTGATTATGTTTTTGATTCCCAGTTTATATATATTCTCACATCCACACCCACACGTAGGTGTAAGCTTCTTGAATGCACCGTTAAAACCCCTTTCCCTCACCCTACATTTCTATACATACCCTCTTTTGGTGCCACTCGCGCTTTCTTGCGACGCGCATAGAGAAAGTAGCCAACGTCAAAGAAGACGTTGAAAGGAGGGGGTAGTGGGGGTTTGCTATAATACTCCAGTATTACTTTGGCCTTTTGCCACGCTGCCAGCCATTTGGTCTGATCGTGGACCATTTGAAAGGTGAAACTGTAAACAAAACAGAATCATTACATGCTATGAAGTAAATATTCAGTATTGAATGAACCTTTGGGTGCACACAAGCATACAAGTATGCTGAAAAATACTACACATACTCTTTTGCACATACTGCACATACTTTTTGTGTGTTCTTGCGTTCGTGGCACAGTCGACCTGCATGTATTTAAGCTTTCAGACTGATCTGTGCATATATACACGGTTAGTGTTACAAAAACTTGATGGGTTTGCTTGAAAGGTTCTTCTCCTTTTGCGGGATCAAGCAATTCAAATACATGTATCCATTTACAGTAATCTAAAGGAGAACAGTTACATTGAAAGTACCCAGAGAATAGCGTGCTGTTTCTCATTAAGAACATCTGACATTTTCATTTCAACCTTGATTATCATTCTTGCCAAGTTAACCTTATATAAGAAGTGATTACATTGAAAGTACTGATGCTTTTTGGGTGTTATATAAGAGCATTCACATCATGTTTACTTTGTACTTAAGAGAATGTACGCGAATTATGCTCCGAGTACGTTGAGGAGGATTTGATAAATATACTGTACGTGAACCTTGCTGTCACAGTGTTAAAGGCAATCGTGTTCCAGAGGATGCACGTACTGTACGTGAACCTTGCTGTCAGAGTGTTAAAGGGAATCGTGTTCCAGAGGATGCACGTAATGTACCCAAACCTTGCATTAAAGAAGATACCATTCATTAAGACCTACACTGTTAGTGTTCAGAAGGTAAATATCGGGGTGTATACCAGTGTCCATGAGAAGGTCATTGATGAGGATGTATCCACCTCACCTGAATCTTGCTATCAGGATGTTGAGGAGGAGTACATTCAGGAGAAGCATGTGCAGGGCCAGAAGAAATGGAACTGTGTATTTCCCCAGGGTGGATGGACATTCATCCTTTGTGTCGTTTTCAAAAAGAAGTGGGTCAGACGAACACGCATCCTGGGTTTCACTGGCTAACACAAGGAACAAGAAATACAAAAATACAAATAAATAATGCTAAAAGCAACAGAATAAAAGGTTATTTACTATTGTGTCACTTATGAAGGAAGAAAGTCATTTAACAAAAGGTATCTGATTCTGCAGTATACAGAATGCATGGACAGCACTATTCAGTCACGTCATTTACAAGTTTCAAAGATACGAATGTCTAACAATTTGTCGAACAATATTCTTTTCTTTGATGTCTTCATTTCACACTTACTGGGGTACGATCGAACATGCTCTACCTACCAAGCAACGATATTACTTGTCTTGCTCAGAAGCTGTTTGATCAAGGTTGCACCATTCAAGGGCCTAATAAGTTTATCAAAAGTTGACTGGTACACGTGGAGGACATTCCCAAATTCGAAACATCGGTGACCAAAATAAAAAGATTATATCGTTATGTGTAAAAAAAAGATGTCCCTTGAGCGTCTGTGTCTTAGTTTTTCCTCGAAAAGTTAGGTTTTTATACACTAATAATGATAAAACACATTGAAACTTGTCCAGTCAATCTGTCCAGTCAATCGACTAATTTTTCAGGCAACTAACAAAATTACTGAAATTTTACACATTGACTGTAACATATATATTCTACCTTCAATTTCATCCAATCCTAATTCTCCAAATAGGTTCCAAAATGCACTTTTAGGTACGTCAATCAGAGCTTCGGGTGACCAATCACGGTTAGGATATAGAAGCGCGTGTGCAGCCAGACCGTGCGATATGATGAAAACCGACATTATCACCAGGAACGGAAATAGGTCCTTGATCTACAAGATGATAGAAGACGTTACTTTACAATTGCAAAAGGTATATCATTCGTAGCTTAATGGTTTTAATTTACAAAACTTTGAACACTCAACAACATTGCGTATGTAACTGCTTCTTAAAATTCCACATTACGCTTGACCAAAGACGTATATACATATAAGTTTTTGGCTTGACCAATTTATAAAACATACTAAAGTCAATTTCTCAGCTAAGATGACATGAATACCAAGACAGATATTTGATCATTATGGACATAATTCTTGTTTCTATATTTTGTGGTCAAAGTCTACCAACCATTTGGAAGATCATTTCAAGAACAGGACCCATAATGCTGAATATGGCCAGATGTTGCAGTATTCTCCAGGTAAAGAACATGATGTCCAGACTCAGTATGACTCTAGCAGCTTCATACACATCACTCCTAGTGGTGTCCAGATGGACGATGGTCATCAGAATAGCACCCACCAGGAAGAACACAAGAGAAACACAGTCCAGTATATTCCAGTAGTTATCAAAGAAATACGCCTTCAGTTTCCACGTACAGTAGCACTGGCATCTGTCCCTGCAAAACTTGGGTTGTTCAGCCGTCTTGGTTTTCACAATCTGGAATTATTGTTGGTATATGAACTTAAGTCAATATTTAGCCCTTATTTCGTAGTGAGTAATGTTATTATTTGAGGCAAAATATTGTGCAAGATCTAAAAAATCTACCACCGATTTTCGTCCTCAAAGACTAAATATATAAATATTTACGTCTTATGAATTGTGTGAGACACGTCTTTTATATTGAACATGAAAGTCAGGTACCACGTCATATTCTTCTCACGCGGGTAGTGTTAGCCGCTATTGTAGGATTATGTACAATAGCTAGATTCCTCTGGCTTGTCATTAATCTAACTAACCGACCAGTCTATGTCTATAATACTTCTCTCCCCATGTTAATAAAAACGAGAAAACACTCTTTATTCATATCAAATGCACGTGAACATAACAATCAATTTCAGATTCCAACTTTCTCATGTGGATGTGTTGACGAATTACAATCAACCATTGATGATGAGGTGCTCGCGAAATGATCAGCGTATCCTGACGCACAAAGATACAAACACATGCAGAACCAAGTCAATTGTTAGTTTGACTACGGCAACATCTGATATAAGTCAAGACAAGGAATTGCATCGACATTTCTAAAACGTTTTGACATTTTAAGCTTTACTAAGGCGTTCAATGTCCGATCACACAACATTTGAGCAAGAGCCGTGTGAAATCCAAACTGAGTGCCGTGCATGAACGTACTCTTGGGAATTGGGAATTGCAACCAGTAAGTAAAAGACATATGATATAGTTGGAATCGTAGAATGGACTCTGTTTTTGTAGAGGTTCGTAATGAACATGGATTACCGTCGCTTTTATTTAAGTCAGTTCTAATGTTACATATTGTACATCAAACCTCCTACTGACCTGTCTGATCTCCTCCCAAACAAACGTGAACCACCACCCGGCCAATATGCCTTCGAGAACTGAAAATTCTTTCTTCATTTCAAATAGTAAGGTGTGACCGAAGATACCCAGGAACCAAACGTAGAACAGCTGTGGTGAGAGAAAACGAGTTTGCATCCATTTACGTGTTCATCCATTGGATCATTAAACACCATAATAAAAGAGCTCTAATAATATTGATATTGTGGGAGGTTGGCTCGTCACGCCGTCCGGGTATCTTTCCTTACATTCAATGTCATAAAGTAGAATTTGCATTAAAATTGGTGTAAAATGCAACTCACTCACACACTGAATTACTTATAATTATTTGTAAGTTACCAGGTTCAAACTGTATGTTGTTATTGGTGCTATCGCAAGCCGTCTTAAGCGAGCACAGAAAGCTTCATCCCTGAAACGATACAGAATAGGATTAATAATGTACTCAATGCATTGGTAAGGAATACTTTTTTGCATTTTCGACGATGAATTATTGTACTGTGATGTTTGGTAAATGTTCATATCCACATTTAAATCAAATGCAACAGAAACGAAGTACTCACTCTTTGATATTCAGCTTTTTAGGTGTTTTGTAAGTACCCTGAAAAACATATAAACGTGTTTTCTCATTGCAGTAGTATGTACTGACAACCGTTGCTACTATTTCAATGTATCTCTGACACATGTACAGTGATATCGAATATGGTATACTCTGTATCTATCATTTACCATAGTAGATAGTATGAACAACTATTCATAAAAAATCATTAACGTGTTAATCATAATACTGGACGTATTAATCACAATACTGAAAGGTGTATATTTCATGATCGAATTCTAGTGGTTATAGATTATATCATATTATAACCGGAAACCTGCATGATGCTGTTTGTTAAAGGACATCATGGCATTCCCGCATGGTTTCACGATGTTCAAAGGAATGTTTTCTTCTTCAGGGACGAACGGAAGCTCTACTTTAGTTTCAATCATGAACATGCCGTCGTCATAGAATTCGATTTTCGTGTTGATTTGGTGTTTAACGCCGCACTTAGCAATATTCCAGCTATATGTCAGAAGTCTGTAAATAATCGAATCTGGACCAGGCAATCCAGTGATCAACTGCATGAGCACCGATCTAGGCAATTGGGATACGATGACATGGTCAACCAAGTCAGCGAGCCTGACCACCTGATCCCGTTAGTCGCCTCTTTTGACAAGCATGGGTTACTGAAGATCAATTCTGACCCGGATTGTCATGGGTGTCAGAATACAATGTGTGAAGTCCATCTGATGTCCGCGCCTTGATATTGCCGGATTATTGCCAAGAGCGACGTAAAACTAAATTCACTCAATCACTCATAGAATTTAGATAATGCTTAGAGAATCGCTATACAACACTCAAATATTCTTAGTAGAGATTGTCCTGACGTAAGAGACACCTAGTTGCGCTCACCTGCATGGGTGGGTTAACTTTTCCCAACCACACACGTTCAGTGTACTTCCTGTAACCTTCTTCGGCGAATATTCTGCGGTTGTCAGTAGCCAAAGAGCATCTTAGCAGATCTTCCTGCCATATGTTGCCTGCTAGCTGGGACTGTATCAGATCTATAGTCCGTTCTTTGTTGTCGTCATAACATTTATTTATGAGGCCGATTGCTCTGTTCTGAAACAATCTAAACACACCAAATATTACTGAAATACATGGTGTTCCTTGATTTCAGTCACAAATTCAACAAATACTTACGTAGCTGCTGCAATGTCAAGGTTATGTCACGACAGAGGAAAGGGATGAACACGGTAAATCACGTTTCCTGGCCAACACACACCAGTATCTAGGCAATTAAAAACTTAAAGTTGCTCGTACATGCATCAGCACAGTCTACTTTTAACTCCAAACTTTACATAAGATATCAGCTCTGTAAATATAATCGAATACAGCCTTTAGAATTGTATATGCTATATATCAATACATATTATTTGAAACAAGGCTTCCTATTTGAAACGACCACACTTCCGACAGAAGTACTTGTGGATGATAATTCAAAACAAAACTTTCCAAAAGCAGTCTCTTATTTTTTTATCCTCCACAATGCCGATAATGTTCATTTACAACAAATAACGCTTGTATATGCTTCCCCTGCAGTAATCCAATACATTTAATACAAATATCGATCCTTCTGTCAGTCTCAGAAGAAATCTGAAGTCTATTTTGACAACATTTCTTTCGAGCACCAATACTTCAACTGCAAAGAGGTTCATTGACGAAGATAAAAACTAGGTCTAATGAACATTGACATGTACATCAGTTAGTAGATCATCTGATGTTCTAACAATTGTTGATAATATAATTTCTTCTTTTCAGTCTAAAGACACGGTTTCCTTGACAACATCAACTATCATAAAGCCTATTTAATACAACAAAATGAACAAAGAAACAAATAGATAATAAAGCCAAACACTCCTTGAAATAAAAAAACCAAAAAACAATAGAATGCCGAACTTACATTGCCTGTGCTTCTAGAGTTTTTTTACGGCCAATATTTTCTTCATCTTCCATCCTTGACCTGAGGACTGATGCCGCCAGTAGGGACGATGTCAGCAGGTGCTGAAAGAATGTGAAAGTAATGGCGCCATCATTTCTTGTCAAAATGTACTCATGTATAATGTAGCCTACTTAGCTAAAATAGTTAATGTACGTATACTATCTGCCAAATCGGCGTGGAGTGGAGTTACCTAATACCATTTACAATTTACCTAACCTTGAATCGCCCTGCTTATGGTCCTATTCAGTGATTGAGTGAGTTAAGTTTTACGCCGCTGTTAGCAATATCCCGCAATATCGCGGCAGGGGACACCAGAAATGGGCTTCACACATTGTTCCCAAGTGGGGAATCAATCCCGGGTCTTCGGCGTGATGAGCGAACGCTTTAACCACTAGGCTACCCCACCGCCCCGATCCTACTCAGGATTAAGTCAGTTAACTCCTTTGCCTCTTGCAATCAACCGAGGCATCCGATCCTGTTAGTCGCCTCTTACGACAAGCAAGGGTTGCTGGGGGCCTACATAACTTGTATATTCATCCACGGAATCCCAACTTCAGCTGACGGAAATAATGTTTCAAGGCGTGTCAAACCCGTTCCATGCAATCACTGCTTCCCTCGCGTATGCATATTATCTTACGGTTCCTTTCTTCCAGAACAATGCAGCACATTTCAGTCGATCTGTCCTCACGGCCCATATCATTAAACGTCGAAATACGTCCTCCTTGGGTCCACAAGACGCAGCAGTGGAGAGACGGAACAGGTTGTATGTGGTTTCCTGTACAGTAACAATACCGGATTACTTGTGTTTGCAGTCATACCTTTATTAGTATCGTGAAGATTGATAACTAACATGCTCAAACAAAATGAATTAGAACTATGAAAGGAAGACACGCTGTTTGCTAATCAAACAACTACGTACCAGTGGTTGTGAACAGTGTGTCACTTTACACAAGTGTGAAATCACAGCGTCAGTGAAGAATGCTGTAAGGTCCACACCGTTATAGTCTATAATGAACTGCACACTCTCAGCCTGGTCCATCAGCATCGCTTGAACCAGGAACATGCCTGTTGTCTCTAAAACCCAAGAAAGATAACTGTCCTTACAAAAATCTGAAACTTACACGTTGCAGGTGGGAGGTTTGGTCGAGAATAGGCCAACTTATTGATCGGGATTTACAAACCACCCCATGAGATCAGGTGTCAGTATTACACGTGTGCCTTGTCTGGTTGAGTTCAACCTATACAATGTACCGTTATGTAAATATTACTAAACCAAAAAGGGTGATCGATGACGTGTTTGCTTGGATTTTTGTTTAACGTCGCGCTCAGCAGTACTCCAGCTATGTGGGTGCGGTCTGTAAATAATGAGTTGGGACCAGACAATCCAGTGATCAACAACATAAGCATCGATCTACAAAATTGGGATAGGAAGACGTGTGTCAACCTAGACAGTAAGCTTGACCACCCGATCCCGTTAGTCGCCTTTCACGACAAGCATGGGTTGCTGAAGATCAGTTCTAACCCAAAGTGTCCAAGTGTTGTCATTCTGCTGAGATGCAAACAAGGCTTTGTGTCTGACTCCACACTACACGGTTTACCACTGAGATGTTTCCGCTTTTCTTTGATGTTGAGAGCTGCCGCAGCAGCCCCTTCCCCGTCAAACAGCCTTGCAGGCATATAGTAGTCCAGGATCTGCAGCACTTCAGGGACGGATTTACCTAAAGTAAGACAGCACAGTATCGCTGGACTCGCACATCATTGAAACAGCCTTAAGAGTTGGAACAAGCCTGTTGTATATTTCCATTCATCTTCAGACTCAGACATTTCATCACGAAGCAATATCAGATCTAAACTAAAGGTTAGAGTTTCAGCAATATTTCTCTGAACCCGCTGCTACCATGTCATGTAGCATTACCTGTATAGCGGTACGTGTGGTATGTATGTGAGTGAGTGAGTTTAGTTTTACGCCCCTTTTAGCAATAATCCAGCAATATCACGGCGGGGGGACACCAGAAATGGGCTTCACACATGGTACCCATGTGGGGAATGGAACCCGGGTCTTCGGTGTGATGAGCGGACACTTAACCACTAGGCTACCCCACTAGGCTTCCCCACCACAGTATGTATACATGTGTTACATTCCAAGAACATTGATCTGTGACTAATTATAAGTGTGCTTCAACGCCGTTGTGAACAGTATTTCAGCCATCATATTGAGGCGTGTTAGCTTGTGATAGGTACATGTAAGATGGGGTTGAACGTTAACTACAATTAACATAATCGTGCCACATATGGTTAAACGGAACTTACGTTTTTATGATTCATTTGTTGGTGTTACAACAGTTGGCAGGATCAAAATACCTGAATGGAACGGTAAGGACCGTGTTGATTAGATACTGAGTATTTCAATCTCAGAGCTTATATTTACTTTTTTAGCAGTGCCTGTATGACTGCATTAACCAGCGTGGTTTCCTCTTCGTCAATGTGCACAACCGTGATGAGCTCTCTTTTCTGTAGACACTGTAGGATTTTGTACTGGCCAGCTTCGTCTTCTTGACTGTGAACTTTGGTAAACTCCTCCTTCACTTGGTGACGTAAAACTTCATCAATCACTGTGCCCGTCCTATTCATCATATAGTAAAGGGAAATTGGAAATTGGAGGCAAATTGCGCAATTATGTCGCTTATATTTACTTTCTTACATGCTTATGATATTTTCGGAATCGTACAGTGAACGAGATTTCTATGATATAAAAGATTTATCATTTTTACTCATAAGCGAGTAAGTAAGTTTGATTTTACGTCGCTTTTAGCAATATTCCAGCAATATCATGCTTGGGGACACCAGAAATGGGCTTCACATATTGTGCCCATGTGGGGACTATACTAGATTTAATTTACCTGCAGGACAATCACTGGCACGTTGTTTTCTATTGCAGATTGGACTCCATCGAGAACATAACACCATCCACAATACAGCAGAACCACCAGTGGGGTGCAGGAAGTTCCTTAATAAATCAGTTTTCCATATTTACAGTTTGTGAAATACATTATATTGCGTAAAGACTTTAAACAGTAATTATTTGTTTCTTTTTCAATGAAATGTTTATTATTTCAAGAAGTAATCATTTAATGTTTTGTCTGGTTTGGTCATTGAATGGCATTTACGAATGATATGTATGAAGATGAAGATGTGCGGATGTCAACTTCTGTCACATGAGGGACTCGACGTTTCCGAGTATATTCCTACTCGCGTCTCTCATATTACAGAAGTTGACATTCATAATTTTTCACCTCTGTTGTCTGGTTCTTTTTCAGTATTTAGACATATTGACCTTAGTTGCAAAAGGTCTCGATTTGTTTGTAATCACCTTCTGAAAGTTTCGTCATTGCCGTTTCTAATGTCATCCTGAACTCTTGGAACGATTTGTGGACATGTGACTGATTAAAAGATCCATCGTCCACTAGGAGGTGATGCTTGTACAGAGCACTGGGTCTGTTTCCTTCTGCCTCCTCCTGTAGCTGAGGCTACAGAAAAATCCAAAGAGAGACGTAAGTAACCAATTGAGAAATGTGTGTCAAAAAATGTCCCAATTCTGCCACTATTTAATTGTTGTTGTGTGTAGATTCCGAGGCAGATCAATTTCCCCATGGCTGTTGGGATCCGGTCAAGAGAATATCAACACAGAGACCGGATGGATGTAATTTGTTCTCGGTCAAACTGAAACTGGGTCAGCACAACATAACGTGATTGTCTTTGTTGTGAGCCTGAGTATGATCAGCAGGTCATGGAACCGATGCCACACATTTGGTTCATCTACTCAACGACATGCATGTAATCGACAGTGTTCCACCACTGATCGGGAAAATGTATTTCTTGACATTGCAGCAAGACATCACTACTTCGTGAGGGCAACCACCACGCTCATGAATGACCTCACGTTTCTGGTCAGACAATGAGCTCTTTGCTCCCTAAGGAGACCCGACACTACACAGGATACGTCAACTGGATACACCAAGTACGTTTTACTGATGAATCGAGATACTATCTAGACTTTGATCAGACACTATCATTTTGTCAAGTGTCTGATTATGGGACTACGATGTATGTATGAATTGTGTGGTGCATTACAATGAAATATTGTTCATTAAGCAATGCACATAACGGATGCACATAATTATATATATTATCTAACAAAGTGATGATCCTTAGTAAAAGTGGTGTCGTATACATGTATGTCAAAAAAAGTTTTTTTCTTGCTGTTATCCAATAGTTTAATATACTGTTTTCTACATTTAATTAATATTGTATTTACAAATATCCTTCATTAATGACTCCAATGTACAAGCTATCACCAACGTCTATTACGATACATCAATATAAAGCGTCATCATAAGCTGTTATAGAAAGACTTAACTATAAATACGCATACCTTCTCGGTTTCCAGGTCTTCAATCACTTCTTCATCAACTCCTCCCCATGCATATACTCCAACAGGGGTGATGTATTTAGACATATCCTTGATATATTCTCCCACCATTTTGAAATCCCAAAATGTATGCCTTCGGTTGTAATCCAGATATCTATCACAGAAGTACTTGCCATGTACAAGACTGACAGCGGAACATGAACAAAGTGTGAATTATGACTACGTATATGTTTGTATTTGTCACAAATCTTTAAACATGTCAATTACCCTAAGGAGTCATGATATTTTACAAAACAAATCAAGGTGGAAATTTGTATAAATATCCCATCTAATATCTTATGATGTGTAAATGAATCTTACTTTGTCCATTGGATAATGACTTCATTAATCCCTTTAGCTGGCACCTAAGTTCATTCGTCCTCGTGTCAGCCTGTCTATGTATGTCTCCTATGACAGAGAATATCCATTTTGGCTTTGGCAGTCTCCATACCTGCAGCAAGAGGTGCTCAACGACCGACATGTCAGTTTGGACATCGATACGAACATACTGTAAAACAAAAGCCATGGTTGAAATACTTGATTTTACATGTGTAAGCACCGATCATTTTTCGATTTATCGACATTTCCGATATTATTTTTAGATAATCTTTAGATGTTGCAAATTGATACACTCTTTGTGCATGCATGCGTGAAAAATGTATTAATTATTGTTTAAGAGGTTTTCCGTTTTATAATGTATTTCAAATGCAATTCATATATAACGTAATATGTAATTCAGTCTGGCGCACCCTTGAAGTCTTTCCTTCTCCGAAGTCTATCTTTCCGTAGTTCCTGCAAGGTTCCGGTGTTGTATTCCGTGATGTTGACCAGTCTTCGTCATTTACAGATTCGGGGTCAGGATGTTCACTCTCTTTACGCCAACATTTGCAAGCCGTTTTGTTCTCTAGTCTTAAACATAAGGAGATGCTTATTAATGTTCGGTATATAAGACTGACCATCGATACAGCTTATTGAGATCGATAATCGTTTACTAAATACCGATGGATTATCGCTAAATATCGGAGAAGTAACTTTGAGCAAACAAGTCAGAAAAAATGAATATACTTGACACCTCTGGTGAGTGTTGACATGTTTAACATGGATTACTAACAAAACATGATTTGGTGAAAGACCTAAGTTTGTGTATTGTGTGAGTAGATTAAAACTTTATATATTCACAGAGTATTATATACGATATTTATGTTTTCATCTTTAATATTTAATCTGATGAACGTTATTTCCGATTATCGATCATTTTAGCCAAACCTAATAAGCAATCGCCTGAATCATCTCAAAATATTGCTCTGGTCTTTCCACGCGGGAAAGAACTCACTATGTTATAAAGGTGACGAAATGTGTCTACAGAATGTAGCGGGGTAAATAGAATAACAAGAATACTTTCGACAGAGAAACGGAAAGGCTGAAATAAGCAATGAAAATCTTTTGTCATCTTTTGTCAATTCATAATTTGAATCCAGTCGCTGAATTTCTGGTTCACTTTCACTTCAATGTCGCTGTTGTATAGCATGAGTATAGTTGCGCGGCATTAGGCATCAAGCCCATACCCTCACCAAACAAGGGGCGGTGGGGTAGCCTAGTGGGTAAAGCGTTCGTTTGTCATGGAGAAGACCCGAGTTCGATTCCCCACATGGGTACAATGTGTGAAGCCCATTTCTGGTGTCCTCGGCCCTGATATTGCTGGAATATTGCTAAAAGCGGCGTAAAACCACACTCTCCAAACAAACCGTGTGGCGGGTACACCGATGCTGAGGTCATGATGACCTTTTTTGTGAACATCATCACTGATTTTCAGTGACTCAGTCATATAGACTTTACCACTATTTTGCCTTTTTACGCTCTGTTTCGGCAAATAATTGTAGCTGAACATTCTCTTGCTTTAACGCTACACAAAAAGAAACCCCTAAGCAATTTCCGAAACAAGTCCATGTATATTCGGATCTTTTTACTTGAAATCTATTACAAAGAAATCACGGGTACTTATGTTCTCGCTTGCCATATGTACAAAGAAATAACGGGTACTTATCATATTATCGCATGCCATATGTTACAGTGTTGCTATTTATTTCAGTGATACAGTTGGCGTGCCTTTACATGTGTTTCTGCCACGGGTGGGCAGGATACACTTGTGAAAACAAAATCATTGATTCATTACCGCATTCTGATGATATAGCAGGATCCGTACACTGCTTTTGACTGACAATCTCATTTATACCTAGGGTCTTGTCGCTTGTATTACCATGGCCATACTACGGCAGACATGCGACAGTCATGCATATTGTGGTGTTATTTCGTATTGCGTTATGACATGTGATCTGTGTAAACATGAAAGACAACACTGTCTATGACACTTTACCCTGAAATAATGTGACCGAAGTACTTGTGGCGTGTATAATGGTTGGAAGATTGTAGACGTCACGAGGTTCGTATAAAGTGAGTTTGGGTCTACGCCGCTATAATTAAGCAATATTCAGGCAATATCACGGCAGGCGATTCCATGTAGGGAATCGAACCTGGGTCCTCGGCGTGACGAGCGGACACTTTAACCACTGGGCTACCCTACCGGCCCGGGTCTGATAAAACCAGCGATAAGTCACAGGTCAAGTTTTTTCAATGGTGTAGTAGATGGGCCATCTGCCTAGAGAGCTGAATATTGGTAGTTCGATCCCCTGGCCCCAGTATACCAAATGGCGTTAAAAGAAGGTACTTGTTACTACCTTGCCGTGCATCAAGGTGTTTGAACAAGGACTGGTCGGCTTGGCGTCAGTTTGCTGTGTACCAATGTTAAACTGTGGCATGGTATGTCAGTGGGCGGGAACCGAAAATGAAATAGGTCCGGAGCCTATGATTATCAATGCATACATATGCACACGCACGCACGCACGCACGCACACACACACACGCACGCAATGGCGCACACACACACACACACAAACACACATATGCACACACGCACGTAAGCACGCCGGCGCACACATGAACCAGTCGCTAATTCTGTGATATCATCTGGGTATCCACCGAGAAAACCATTAACAATATCAACAAACCGTCCAGGGGAATTGTTCTAGATCAGTGCCCCTTTAAAGATGTCGTGATAACCTTTTGCATTCCGCTTTAAAGGAACGTCGGTATGCTGCCTTCGCGGATAGACAACGTCGGGTAGAATCATGTTTGCCTGTGTACCTGTGCAGGGAAATCGCTATTCATGTTAACGTCTTTGTGTATTTACCTCCGACTTAGTCGATGACCTGTCACCCTAGTGACACATAAACAATAAGATCCTTCACTCAGACAGCGAATGACAACTTCCTGCTTCGGCTGTGATAAGCTGTTTCGTTTCGGTCTCAACTTTGTATTCAACAACATTTATAGTGAAAGCAATAAATATTGCAATATTGAAAACGTATCTTATATATAGTATAATGTTCGTTTCCATATATTGTCAAACCACAACATATATTTGTATACAGGCACTGACAATATCTGTCAGCTTCAGTGCCATAAACAAGAGGGTAGTTCACCTCGTTGTTTGCCTAGTCACGCTGAAGACCCGGGTTCGATTCCCAAAAGAGGTACATTGTCTGAGCCCTCTTGGAGTCACGACCAATGGCAATAGATTCACTCATGATTATGCGGAACTCTAATAATGTATAAGTACATGCAATGGATCAAAGAAATGCGGCTTACAGACTTACCGAGAAAACACGGTGCATTTTCTTTGACGGATATGTGTTCTGATCCACGTGTCTTCATCCATTTCCTAATGTACAAAGACGAAAGTGAATGCATGAATCGATATGACTAACGCAATGTAAACATATTACTCCAATGTATACAGTGGTTTTATATGGCCTGACTATAGTAACACAAAAGTAGACAAATAAATGGGCAAAAACAGAGTGATCCGGAGAGAGAGAGAGAGAGAGAGAGAGAGAGAGAGAGAGAGAGAGAGAGAGAGAGACAGAGAGACAGAGACAGAGACAGAGAGGCAGACAGACAGACAGAGGGGCATTCACGTTGCTAAGTAAACAAACCGAGTTGCATGGTCTGAGGGATTTGAGCATGCATTATTGATCTTTTCATATCCATATCACTTCTAAACATGATACCCTCTTTGTCTGTTTGTCAGATACAGCCGTTTAAGCCTCGAGTGCTATTCTTGGATAGCAGTCTACACAAATATTTAACAAGATGGCTACTTACTGCTCTGACTTCCTGGTTCCCAATGTCACCTGTAATGTCACACAAATTCCAATGCGTGTCGTTATTGATTACCAATAAGTCAGATCGATACGTGTTGTGTGGATCTCACCAATCAACCGATGTCATGCACTGACGGTCAATTGGCACAAGACACTCTGCACTGGCCTTTTCAAAAGAGTACGTGGGGTAAGGTTCTATTGTCATACACGTGTAATTGATAGCCACAAAACAGGCAACCGGGGTCAAGTAGCCGGTTTACTATTTGAGGTTTGGTGCGGTTATCTGATGAGCAGTCTGATGTTACCCACTGTCGTGAACTGAAATATGGATCAATATTTTATGATTCTGTAAGTATTGTTTTAAGTGGAGCTAAGAACAGTATTTCAGGTATGTCCGCGCAATCTGGAAGGATGTTACCAGCTGATTCAAGGTATCGACCTCTCTGGTAAACGTGTGACGGATCACGCTATCGTGTGAGTGGATTTCTGGCCTGATGGTCTGGTCTTTTCTCATGCCTTCTCAAGACCCGGGTTTGATTCCCACATGGGTACAATGTGTGAAGCCTATTTCTGGTGTACCCCCGCCGAGATATTGCAAACAGCGGCGTAAAACTAAATTCACTCTCTCTGTTGTGCAGTGTCGGGTAACGATCATATGTGCAAATTGTTATGCAAATTGCGCAAATGTTTGATACCGGAAGAATGGTACATGCTCACTCTTTTTGCGAACATCGGGTGTCATTATTGGTTTTCAGTGATTCAGTCATTTAAAATGTACCACTATTTAATCTTTTACGCCCAGTGATCACCGAGAGGGATTAGGTTCTAGTTTTGACGTTATAATAGGTATAACAGAAACTCCTAGTATAGTGCCCGGATCAAGGAAATTCAAGATATGTTGCACTTGATATCATATCGAATATTCATATAATTTTACAGTTAGTTTGACTTGCACGCCCAATGGAGGCTGTGTGGTCTGATAATCAAACATGGTTTTATTTCCTGGCGTTGTCGTTACATCATCTACTACAGTATTGAAGAAACGTGATCTGTGACTTGTCGTTGGTTTTATAAGACCCGGGGCGGTGGGGTAGCCTAATGGTTAAAGCGTCCGCTCGTCACGCCGAGAACCCAGGCACGATTCCCCACATGGGTACAATGTGTGAAACCATTTCTGAAGTCCCCACCGTGATATCGCTGGAATAGTACTGAAAGCGACGTAAAACCAAACTCACTCACTCACTCACTTGACAAGTAAAGGATTAAGAATCACAACGTGAAATTCGTACCCACAGACACTGGAAACTCTTAGGACCCAGCTGTACCAAGCGATTTGCCCCTTAATCAGCAGTCCTTAACTATAGCAGGTATTGGGTTGGGTGCTGGTACATTTCTAATGTTGCATCTACTTCAGGAAGGTATATGGTACACATATGGTATCTTTGACTTTGAAATTCAGTCAGTATTTGGTCACAAATGTAATATTAAGGTTTTATAGAAATACGCATTCCCATTACAATTGAACAACGTTTACGTACTCGGTACATGTCCTGCCCAACTGACAGTCACACAAAATATATGAGCATTCGGAATTCCATCAGATCTTCGGTTTGTAAATAATTTAGGTTGGACCGAACAATCCCAGTCATCGTTAGGATCAATCTATGTCACTTGAATTTGATTACGTACATCAACAAAGTCAGACAGCCTGACCACCCGATCTGGGTAGTTGCCCCGTACTGCATGCAGTATCGGCTAGGCCAGTTGTGATATATGCCTATGTCATCAGATTGGTTTGTTTTTTTGTTGTTTAACGCCGCACTCAGATAATCCAGTGATCAATAGTATGAGCATCGACCTACGCAATTAGGATAAGATGACCTTGGATCTTTACGGTTTAGATAACAAAGGAATCAAAGCGTTACGTGTCTTGTATTAGTTAATTGTAAACTAATAATTATAATCTTTATTCATCAAGTAGCGCAGGCTAGAGCCCTATCAAAGTTACAGATTGAAAGAATTTCAATACATCATATCTGTATAGGTATATATAAATCTCAAATATTGGTATCGACTTCAAACTATTACAATACATCATTCATCTTCTCTTCAAGCATCTCTGATTGTTTATGCCCACATGTCCCTTTCGTTTCCTTTGAAGACATGAGTGTTGGTGCTTTATCAGGCTTAATTTTGAAAAGTCTAATTCCTTGGCATTGGCATATCTCGGTAAAATGTCTGGTTATTTTCATTCCTTCATGTTTAGCGGAGAAGTGATAATGCATTATGTTTGGTACCAATAGACATTTTTACGCCATTAAGGTTTCCTGGTCTTTATTGGGAATATTTATTGCCTTCATACATTTAAAAATGATAAATTTTTAAATACAATATAGCCCGGGTATGTCCACCATCGGCATTGAGAACAGCAGTGCATCGACGACACATAGAGCCTATCAAACGTGCAAGGAAGGCTTGTGGGATGTCACGCCAGATTCTCTCAAGTTCTGTTGCAAGGTCAAGGACGTTATCTGGAGGATGAGGAAGACGGCGTAGACGTCGATTCATCTCGTCCCAAACATGCTTTATCGGGGAGAGATCCGGTGAATTTGCAGGCCAAGGCAGTAAGTCAACGTTGTGGTGTTGCAAGAAATCCATATCAACCCTTGCCGTATGAGGGCGGGCATTGTCCTGTTGGAATGTTAACCCAGGGCCATGACGTTGCAGAAAAGGAATTGCCACTGGTCGAAGATTCTGATCCCTGTAGCCCACACCAGTTAAGTTGCCCTGAGCAATCACCAAAGGAGTTCTTTGGCGTGCTGTTATTCCACCCCAAATCATCACGGAACCATCACCAAAACGATTCCTCTCCAAGACACAGGCCTGTGCATAACGTTCTCCCACGCGTCTATAGGCACGTTGACATCCATCACTATGGGAAATGTTAAACCTGGACTCATCTGTAAAACAACATTTCTCCACCACAACAAGGGTCTGCGGACATGATTTCGGCACCATATTCGGCGAGCTTGTCGATGACGTTGTGTCAGGATAGGCCGTATGGCGGGACGTCGTGGTCTGATCCCGTGATGACGTAAACGTTGTCGAACTGTGTTGGGGTGGATACGTCGAAGTCCTGGGATGGTTCGGGCAGTCATCACTGCAGTCTGAAACCTGTGGCGAAGATGGGTCACCCTTATCCATATGTCCTGTCTTGGCGTTGTTACACGTGGACGTCCAGAACGTGGCCGATCGATGACGTCATTTGTTTTCTGGTAGCGTCTCACCAGTGCAGAAATGGTGTTCCGGTGGCAGTGGAAATGTGCAGCCACTTGTCGTTGAGACATTCCCCCACGGACCATCCCAATGGCCTCATGACGTTGTGCAGACGTGAGCCTTGGCATGCTATGCGTTTCAATAGCCGTTTAATTTTTTGAACGATCGCAAGGGCAGGGGTTGAGCTTTCCAAAAAGACAGTATTGTGTGGCATTCATTTGCTCTGTTTCTCTTTCCCGGAATGCACGTGCAACAACGTATTGCACGTCTCAAGGACGAACCCACTGACGTCACGGAACGTGGCACGTGCATGCATGTTGGATACATGTCACTAATCTCTGAGTTTAAATCCTTATGTGTCTACACAGGTTTGATAAATTTAGATTTTACATTTTTGTATGCACAGTTTTTTTATGTGCCTAGTATACATTGATTACAGTTAGGGAAATATCGCGACCAACTGGCTTTCGCAAACCCACGTTCCGAAAGTTCTGGGATACCTCTGATGACCTCTGATTTCAATAGCATGGCATACTTAGAATTTGTCGGAATGGATGTAAATTTAGGCAACCATTCAAACAACAAAGTGCACCCGTGTATGAAATCGGAGTCGAAAACTACAAGGGCTATTCAACCCAATGAACATTGTTTTGCGTCACCTTTAGCATTATTCTATGAACATCACCACAAATGGACTTACACGTTACATTCATGTTGTAAATCAAACCCAGGGCTTCGAGGTGACGACGGAAAACGAACACTTCAACCGCTAGGCCACCCCACCGCCCCAAATCAGCGCTCACATTCCCAAGTATTAATCTACTACATCCATGTAGTGTTATACAGGAATACATAAAATAGTAGCCAATGTATAATGGTGCTTTTGGATTTGGATGACGTAGAATGCCCCTGTATTTCCGGGTTGAAAAAGAGGCACTGGTGGATAAATCGCTTCGGCGCCGGAACTATCTGTGCCTTGGAAGTGCCAGGAACCTGTGAAGTTGGTTCGAATATAATGTATCTCTGATTATGGTGATAGGTTTGTCAGCACCATTGCTATACTCATGTCTGGCACCAAAGTGGTAAACGTCTAAACACTTCGGGTTTTCCTCTCACATCAAACAGACACGAAATGCTAGAGATGTAATACTGTTTAAGGTCACGTTTAACCAAAATCAGTCAATAGAGCCAATGTTAGAACGGGGCAAGTTTCTATACTCCTTAATGTTACATAGAACGGGCAATTCAGAGATATGACACTGACAAAATTAAATATTGTATACATCCCTAAACAGACAATTAATCTTGGGCTCGCTTACCCGAGACAAGAGGAAATACTGAGAAAAGAACAGGTTCTTTCTGCAGGCATCTGGAGTAGCCGGTGAAGTTGTATATTGGTATAAGAACCAGTGATATAACAAACAACAGGAGAGTTGCAGTGGTCAACAGCAGGAGAGTTGCAGTGGCCATAAATCGCACGATGTGAAACGCAACTGAAACAATCAAGATTGCATTTCATATATTTCACAGTA